CTGCCATAAAAAACCAGCCACCAACGAGTGGAAGGTTTGTGGTGGTTTTGTGGACATTTCAGAGAATTAAAATCACCTCTGCTGAGGGAAGCTTAAAGTTTGGACTGCTGTGTCTTTTGCGTGATTTGGCAAAGTCACTTTGAAGCCCTCAAAAATGATAATTGATGTAAATTAATTCCCGTGAAAATTTGGGTAGCTTGCTCTTGCTGTGTGTGGAAGTGGGAAGAGAAGAGATTGTTGTTGAAGATATTGAAGATATTTCTGCAATAATTAAGGATAAATCTTACTGTCTTAAGTGAAAAAAGTTGTGCTAATACATCAAAGAGGAGAAATGAATGACGGCTGGTTTCTTTGTGTTTTGGTCCCCACCCCTCACCCCCCCTTGGTCCTTCAGGTTTCATTATCACCTGGCTATATCCTATGTACAGCTAATTATCAAACTAGTAGCTGGTGTCATACAGTATCTTGTTAGCTAGGGCATCTCGTTTTTATTGTTACAGGCTTTCTTTAAGTTCACACAAGTAAAATCACTTCCTACTCAACAATTTCTCCTAGAGGAAGAAAACCTGCAAACATCCCACCCCACCTCACCCCCCACCAATAAGTGTTTCCATCAATGTGCTGATTTCAGTTGAGACTAAGCATTCAAGCAGTGCAGGTTTAGGAGAAATCTGTGGTTCTGCTCTGGTGACTGAACTCAAGCTTGGTCTCGAGGTCCAGCTGTGTCTTCTGGTACCTCTGCTATCCCAATACAGGATGTGGGGAGGTGTGTAGAAGATACATAAACAAAGATACTGTTTGACTTGCAGAAATTACTGATGATATATGGATCTCCAAATGGTAGCTTGACCTCTAGATTGTCTTTGCAGAATTTGGTTTAGTAAATTCAACTTGGGACCCAGTAACAGCTAGGGAATGCTGTAAATACATCCGTCTGTTATGTGGAATTCCCGTTTACAGTCTGGATGTCGCTCTTGCAGAGAAGTCATCAAATCGGGAGCTTCATCCTCAATTTCGAGGGCTTTTTTTCAGCCTTTCTGTCAAGTGGCATTAGCTCAGTTGAGTGCTCTGGGAACGTTGTTTTATGTTGTCATAGAGGCTTATTTGTATCTCTGAAAAGAGAGAAATCATAGAAATGTAATAATTATCTGGTTTAATGTTTTCTCCTTTAAGCATTCATTTTATTTAGGTAATGTTTTATCCTTATAGGGAAGAGCACACCGTGACCAGCAGCTTGTGTTACTCAAGGAGCATCTAGAAAAATATTACAGGAGCCGTAATCGGAAATGGATTGTTTTATTTCCAGAGGGTGGCTTTCTTAGGAAAAGGAGAGAAACAAGCCAGGCATTTGCCAAGAAAAACAATTTGCCATTTCTTAAACATGTCACCCTGCCGAGACTTGGGGCAACACAAGTAATTCTGAAAACTCTTGTAGCGCCGCAAGAAAATGGAACTCCAGCAGGTAGAGACGCTGTGATAAAAGGTAAAGACCACTTCAGTCTTGTGGATAAAAAGCAAATTGAATGTCTAAGATTTGAGTGAAGCAAAACATTTTGTGTTGAATTGGTCTCTTTAAATGTCAAATACATCCATAATGCACCATCCTATTTGCATAGATGTTTTCATATTTGTTTTTAGTTCCACTAAGTTTATTTTTTTATCTTGACACACCCAAAAAAAGAAAACCTTAATTTTAATTTGATTTAGTCTACAGTGTGGCTGCATGAATGTTTGTCTTGGTACATGTGATGGGTAGAGCAGATACTGGAGTAAGCACCTGGAGTGGGCAAGAACGTAGACTGCTCCTTTCAGCATCATTAATGGTTTGCAGTGGTTTATGGTAGTATGGAACTATAGTAAAAGTATTTTTGGAATATGCAAGCTATGTTCAATTTTTATTCCTGGCTTTAAAAGTTTCTTTGCATCCAGTACTGTATACTTCATTCCTCTTCTTGAACTATTTTCTATTGAGTTCATTCTTCTGTTCTTTACAGATTTTTATGATGACTGTCCCCTTTGTTGCTGGAGTTAACTGTTACTGATGACTAGATTTGAAGGATTGTTTTGGCTGTCTTATGTTAGAAGAGTTATGAGGGAATAAGAATATTCCTGCAGCATTATTATTCTGAGACACCTGGGCTGTAAGGGGGGGTATAGCTGGGATGTAAGTAATGCCTATAGTTATGGGACTTGGTGCTTTTCATCTCTCAATTTTAAAAATTAACTTATTGGCATGTTCAGAGGGCAGAGTTAGATCTTACTTAACCTAGTTGTGGGTTTCTGTTACTTATTATAGAAAGAATGGATTGGGGCTTTGTGATGGTTTCTTATTGATGGGTGGTGCTGGTATTTCCATAGCCAAATTACTGTAATTGTTTAGCAGTTTGAACCAAAGATCCATCTTAAACCACATATGCAGATGACTCTGGATTGTTTTCTGTGACAAAGTTTAAATTTCAGGGTTAACTGGAAGCCTCATACAGAAATTGCTTCCAGATTTTTAGTTTTGAAGTTAATCATGTCAACTATAGGAAATGAGTAGAGATGATGTTCTTGCAGGAGTGGAGGGAAGATTTTAAATGAACTTGAAATCAAGATGTGCATCAGAATATTTGCTTTCAGGCTATGTTTGGAGAAGAAAGGCTGAAGAAAGCCCTTGTTATCTTAGAAGATTTTAGGCTTAGAAGAGAAACAGAATATCCTAGTCCTTGTTAAAAGTTATTTTTTAAGGAGAAAAGTTTGGCCTGTTCCTGTTCTATTTATTCCAGTCTCAAAGGCAAAAAGGTATGAAAAGTAAGAAATTCCCCAAATGAGAATTACAGGCTTTGTAGTTCTGGAAGAGAACCAAAAGCACTCATTCAAATATCAATTTTATATTTTCATACTCTTAGATTGCTATCAACTTAGCTGAACATCAAACCTGGCTACTTTTTATGGTTGGTTTTTTTGGTGGCGTTTTTTTTTTTTGCCTCATTTCTTTTTTAGGCAGCATGATTCACACTCTGGAGAAATGAGCATTTGATAGTAGTTGACCTAACTGGGTATTAAAATAAAGGTTTTGTCTTAGAAATATAATGGTACCACGTCTGTCCATCCTCCTCTAAAGACAGAAGGAAAGATAAATGGGCAAAAATAGGAAAGAAATGTGTAGTTTTAGCTATCATCCTTTCAGAATAACAGACGTGAAAACATAATAAAGGGGATGAAAAAGAGAGGTGAAAGTAAATTTCATATGCTAGGAAAGAGTAATATTTGATACATGTGAAGGTGAGGTATTTTAAGTCCTCGCTTCTCTTAAGCTCTCAGAAATGTTTCTAGCAAGGTAAAACTTCCCTTTCAGAGATGTACTAAAAGTTAATTCCTCATCTCTATCTTGTATAAAAGACTCTTTCTCTAATCTTTTGCCTTCCAAATGCTTTTACTGTACTCTTGCCACTTCAGAAATATAATCATAAAAATTGATAAGGTTATATTATAAAGTTAGAAGCCTAGCAAGTTAGTGATCATCTTTATTTTTTATCTCTTTTATCTTTGCCTAATTTTAACCACATGAAAAAGCCTCAGTGAAATCAAACTTGCCTTTATCCTCTTTGGGTTGCCATCATTGAGTTGTGGGTGCTAGAACTAGATGTAGTGTATATGGTAAAGATTTTGCTAGTGTCTTGCATAGAGATTGCATATAAACTTTTTGTACGTTATTACTGTACTCCTTTGCTTGGGAAGTGACTTGTGTGTCAGTAGCATCGCACTTGAACTTCATGGTTCACTGAAAACATTTTTCTCCTGCACCACTTCTTGTGCTCTAGTTTGTCTTACTTAACAATGTTCCTGGTGTCCTGGGTTACCAAATTATTCAGCTTACTGTAATAAGTTTTCTGCTCCGTTATTTAGCATTCTCTCCATCTTTTTGTTACCACCAAGCTTTACTGGTAACGATGGAGGTTCACCTCCCTCCCCCCTACCACCACCTGATTTTAGTTAAATTGGTTTATAGATTAAGAGTAACTCCTCCTCATCAAAAATTATGTCCCCTTCCTGTTGAGTTTCCTGCGTAGCTATGTTGTTATGAGTCATGATACACAGTTGCAGTGTTCTTGAATGCTGTCATTTTATTAGTACTTACTTTAAAATTATCCTTGTAGCTTTTATACCGTTGTAGATTTTATACCATTCTACTTTCTCAACTGGAATGCTGTATAATACTGGATGAAAGAAGAAAAGACAAGAACAACCATAATAAAAGATGGTTCATTCTTAATATACTGCTACACTGTACCCTAATTTGGTACAAACCAAGCTGCATACAGTTGTTTCATCGTGTCACCCCCGACTCTCCAGCCCACTAGCTTGCTTTTGTACATCAAATGTCACTGGAGTTACAGCCTTCCAATAGTAGTTCAAGAATTGTGTAACAGCTAAATGCTACATCATCTGTCCTTCTGTAAGGTCTCCAATCTGATTTCTGTCATCCCTTTGGTAGAGGTGGGTTTATGTTGTGGAGTGTGAGGTTCAGTAGCCTCCCCAAAATTTCATTAACCTTAATTATCATATTAGTATTCTTAATATCTAATCCCCTTTTCAGTTTATTTTTGTACTAGTTATGAATTTCCCACAGTTTATTACCTAATTCTTCCTCTGTAAAGTGACAGGAAGAACAAATATTTCTGAGCTAGATGATCAGTACTATTTGATTATTCTTGTACTTAAACTGATCAGTTCTTTATCAGTTGCTTGTCCAAGGCAGGCAGCCTCTATTTTCTTAATTTCCTTCTCTTTTGAGTTTTCCAAGCCTTCTTTCATATTTAAAGTCCCAAGTACTAGCCTTCATTGGAGTGAAATTTCGCTTACTGCTGGTAAATACTAAATTAAATTACTGAAACAGTTGTTGTTTCTCCTGCCTTTTGTTTAATTTTAATGGAATTGTACAATTTTATTCCTAAATAAACAGAAGGATAGAAAAACATCTAGGAAAGGTAGTACTATCGCTTGATGGCTTGAGTGATTTTGAAGCTGGAAAGTGCAGACAGTGTAGTTAAGTGGTGCCTGTCCCTGAAAAGATGGTATAAGTTAATTCTGGTGTCTGATGAAAGCGTCCCTCTGGGCAGATGTGCTGTGCCCCACAAACAGGGCGCTGCTGCCAGCACCTGCGTTCCAGGAGAAGGTTTTAGTGCAGAATAGAAAAATGGGCAGCATAAAAATACTTGATGCATAGCCGTCATCACCTTAACCCTGTAGGGACCAATGCGGGGTCAGGGGTGGTGTTATTTTATGGTTTTGGTTTGTTTGTCCGTTTAATTTTTTAATGGAATGCTTAGTCTCTGACATAGTTGCAAGTACAATGTTTCTTCAGTTAATAAGAATTGATCTTCATGTGAGTTTTAGAACTAGCAAAATGTTCTACGTGCTAAACAGCTGGCAATTCAAAGGAGTTTGGAGCAATTGTTCACTGAAGATATGTATTCCATGGCTTATTTTTTATCAACCTTGTTGTAGTATGTTTTTCTAATTCTGCTTTATTTTACCGTGCAGCAATTTTTTTTTGTCTGATAAGAGGTTGCTATGAGCTTGGTTAGAGCCATACTGAAATCTTATCTTAGTGTTTTCAAATGCAGCGCAATACATTCAGTTCTGATGCTTTTTCTCAGAGGAACTCAATTTTCCGTTCTGCAGAGCTGGACACTGACCTTCGTAATTGATTTTTTTTTTTTTTTTTTAAATCAAACTTTTTGATTCACTGTTATATGAGGAATGTGACTTGAATAACATGTGGGAAGGCTTTTTTTCATCCTGGAAAAGAGGCTTCTTGTTTTGTTCCAGGTGATTTGTTACAGAGAGATCTTGGGATGATGAGTAAGGTGTTTGGTCTGAAAGCTAATCTTCATGGGGAACAAAGTTGATTCTAAAGTCAGTGGTCCAGTTAATCACACAAGGACAAGTAGAGAGCAAGGGACAAGTTACAAGAACGCATTGCTATGCAGGGGGAGACAACAGCCTCTTTGGCTGCATTCAGAGTGGTGTAAGTGTTCAGGAAACCACACCTGAGTACTAGGGAATGCTAGTAAATATTTTCTTTTTCAAGTGGAAGCTGCCATCCTCAGATTCCCAACTGGCTGGTGCATTCTTTTCCACTCCAGATGCAATCCGGCAGTATCGCACCATCCAGAGCCCAGCTGGAGGCGAGGTTTCCTGCTAAAACCTGTCCTTATAACTTGCTCTTTTTCTCAGTGGTAAACACTGACGGTCTGCTGGTGGGTTTGAAGAGTCCTGCACATAGACAAATCTGGCTTTTAGTATTGGTTGAGACTAACCCCAAGGAGGACATAGAGGTGACTGACGAAGAGAAGCTCTGAACCCCACTAAATTTGTGATTGTAGACAGTCAGGTATCTGCTGTGAGAGGGCCATAGAGGATGATGGAGCACTGAATGTATTGAAGACGCTGATGGTAAGTTGCTTCATAACTGAATCCACAGCGAGAGCGAAAATAAGGGAAAAAAAATAGTTATGGAGATTTGCCTCTGCTGGTGATTTAAAAAACAAACAAACAAAAACAACAACAACAAAAAAACCCACTAAACCAAAGAAGTTAGGAGACTGTTTAAATTTTGTTTTGATGTTTTTTGTCTAGGCCAGAAAGCTACTGTTACATGTGATTGTTCAGACTTGCCTTAGCACTCGTGAGGCAAGTATGTAGCATTCATACAAAGGTACATTATTACTACGTGGTTTGGATGCAACCATGTAGGACAGACGCAGACCTGTTTTGAACATTTATGTACTATTTAAAAAGAATCAGAGTGCTAACATTTTGAGGCGATTTGAGAAATCAAAATCCTCCACCTGTGCTGAAAGTGGTAAGCAGACTGACACCACAGAATAAAAACTAGTCCTTGGAGAGATTGGCTTAAATTTGGCCTCTGCAGCAGTTTCTTCTGCTGAAGTCTCTGGCAGCCAGGCTGCTCAGTCTTTCACCAGGTACTAAAAATGAAGGATGAGGGTGTCTTTTAATGGTAGATAGAAAGTTCAAAAGGGTTTGACTGTCAGAAGCATCTGTGGCTGTGTTGGCCAAGCCAAACTTAACAAGAGGAGTTCTTGAACAGGTATACGCAACTCCCTTTTTCTCAGCTACAAATGTCAGACCTGAGATTCACACCATATTGTAACTCATGCGGCAGTCTTTCTACTCTGAGTTCCTGTTAGTGTGCTCCATTTAAAAAAAATAGGGTTTATTGTTGTTCAAAGGTCCACTTAGGCTTGAAAGCAGCATCCTTGGGCATACTGATGTCCTGCCTCTTGATGTTGTGTGCAATTGTCTGTTTCAGTTTCAGGATATGTTAGAGCTTCGTGGCTTTAAAATAAATGTGCTCATGAGCAGGGCACAACACAGTGTAGCCCCCCGGAAAAGGACAGCAAGATTTATTTCAAAATTAATTTTCTGAAATCCTTGGTGACTTAGGTTTGTTTGGCAGTATGGGATCTTGGATTATCTATGGCTTATTTTAAACCAGAGCACACAGAAGTATGCCTGTGACTGTGATTTGATATCATGTCTTGGTAATTGCACGTGGAGGTAGCTGTGCTAAGACCTGCTTGCTCTAAAGGAGGGTCTGTGGAGGCTGATGTTACCTTCAGAATTAAATATTATTTTTTTTCCCCCCTAACCTGGGGTTCCTGGTGGGCTGTCAGAGGCAGGTGTTTCACCCCACCCTGCCCTGGAAGGTGCTGGAGGTGAGTTTGGAGGTGGTCTGAGGAATCCATGCAGCAGCTCTGCTCCACAAAAGCAGAAGGTAGGAAATCAGCATAGAAGAGTTTGGCAGGAGTCTTCCTGTAATGAAGTTTGAACCATTATCTGCTGAAAGAACAGTCTGAAATACCAGCTAAATATTTAATAAATGATTTTAAAACATTTTAGTGTAAATAATAAGATAATGTGCCCATATTCATCTGGCACTTTTTAATTGCAATTAATGATCTTTGTTGCTTACTCACTTAGACAATTTACTTGTCTTTACCCATTCTTACTTTACATCTGGGAAAATAATAAATTGAATGGCTTTGTTCTTAAATCCATTTCTAAATGAATACTTCTGTAGATTTACTATTAATTTCATATTGGCTCTTCTCTAATACATTGCTACTTTTAAAATGAAGGACTCTGTAGTTAGTGCTTTTCTTAAGAGAGACTTGACAAGCACTCTATCATGATGCTGGCAAGCCTGGAGCCTCTAATGGGACTTTGTGTTCTCATTTGGCGGGTCTGTCAGGGTTTTAAAATACTGTGTTTCCAGAAGGTGACACTGGATGTTTCAGCTTGACCTGTGTAGCTTGCACTTGGTCAAATCTTGGAGTAGCACATTGCATGCTACTAATAACTCATAACCTAAATATTAGGAAATGCTATCTAGCCTTATTCAGGTAGTGTATTTGTATTTGTAACGAAGCAGTATAACTCCATTGTTGAGTAGACACCATGAAAACACTAGCTGCTTGTTAAAATAATTGATAGATACATGTGATGGCATTGCTGTAACTGTCTTCTCACACTTAATTAAATTAAATGCAATTTAAATTAAATGAAATGCAGGTAGAAACTTGTGAGTCAGTCCTTGCATGTATGTTCTAGTTGGTGTTAATAACTCTGTGGCTTTTAGAGCGCACCTCAGAGTGTTGCAGATTTCTTTCTCTGTGTGGTAGCTCTTCCTGTAAAATGTGAGTGGTGATTCAGGGCAAGACCAAACATCTGTCTAGCCCAACGTCTTGTCTATGACTCCAAGTGGATATCTGAGGAGGAGTGTGAACACAGCAAACATGCATCATACTTCTCCTGCATACTCTCCTAGCTTCTGACCGTTTCCAGCGTGGTAGGTTTTGCGAGCCAGATGGGGGTTTCTGCCTGTTTAGTTAACCCTCCAACAGATTTCTTCCATCTATTTGTCCAATTTCCTCTTGAACCCAGCTCTTGGCACCCTTGACATCCGTCGGCACGGGGATCCCCACAGTTTTATTCCCTTCCGCGCAAAGAATCATTTCTCTCTGTGTGCTTCGAAAACTTTTCCTCTTGGCTTCATTTTGAATACATCTATTCTTGTATTGAGAAATATGATGAACAGTCTGTCCCTGTGCCCGTTCTTCGTGTCAACAGTGTTTTTGTCAACCTCTATCATATTTCTTTCATAGCTGTCTCAGCTGCAGGCTTCAAGAGTCTTGTACTTTATACTAAGACCTAACACCTCTTACATGCTTCTGCCAACAGGTGGCTGTTTTTAATAGTCAGCTTTTTAAATGCTTTAAGATATTGCTGGGCATGATGTAAGCATAGTACTATTAGTGTATTAAGCATTAAGTAAGCATATTACTATACTAGCCTGAACATAACATGACCTCAGATAGAAGGCAGCTCCAGTTCCCACAGAATAGATAGAAACTTGACAAGCTAAACTCACGAAGTGCCATCTTGGCAATCTGCCCGCCTTCCTTATTTGCTTTCCAGATCTGCTGCTCTCCCTCTCTGCAAACCTGTGAACAGAAGACATGCCAGAGAGAGGTCACAGCTAGGTTGATATCTGACCTTGTCTTATCGCTGGTAGTAACCTACGTTCAGATTTAAATTTGACTCTCCTGAATAATCTTCATAGCAAATATTTTCACCTTCTTTGATCCTTTTTTCAGTTTCTAAATATGCTGAGCCAGCATATGAACATGTACTGGTATCAGTCTTTCTGGGACCTTGTGGATGCAATCTCCTCTTTATTGTGAAAACTGACCATCTTCTATTCGTTGCTTTCTTGTCTTTAATACACAAAGCGGTGTGTTTCCTCTGTATTGCATAATTCAGATTTTTGAGAACCTTTGAGAGATTTTTTTTTTTAAAGTCTTTGAAAAATCTCACTACATTGTGTGACATAAATCACCGTTATCCACTTCCCCTAACCAAGTAGTGAGGCTAGTTGTCCAAAGGGATCTGCATGGCTGTTGCTTCATTAGCGATCTGCAACTGCGAGCACTTATGAAGGCCTAGTTGTAAATGTGCTTAAAGTGCTGACGGAGAAAGTTCGATTTTTATTTTTTAAGGTTTTCCTTTTGGTGAATGGAGGAAGCACCTAACATTTGGGACAACATGTTATGTGACTATACTCATACCCAGTGAGTGAATTTGTTCTATTCCGTATACTACAATATGTAAGAATAACAGAAATAACTGTGGAAGTAAAATCTTGGTCTAGCCAAAGTTTGTAAGAGAAATTCTGTGCTCTGTAATGAAATCTGGATGTGATTTTTGGCTGTCTTATTTTATTTGTGCCTCATACCTCGTGAAGTAATATAAAAATGGAATAACTATCAAATGAGTGCTGTGCACTTTCTGATTACTTTTAATATTGTGTTTCTTTTTGTTCCTAGAGAACAAATCCAAAGGCCTCCAGTGGGTGATAGATACAACCATTGCGTATCCCAAAGGTGAACCTATAGACATCCAAACTTGGATTCTTGGCTATCGACAACCAACAGTTACACATATACATTACAGGTAGGAAATAAACCACCTACTCTTAAGCTGAACTAAAATATTAAAAACCAAGTATTCACAAATTAGTAACATCATATTTCAGGATATGGGAAATTAGTAGCAATGTCTTTTATGTGCGTCTCACACAGGTGGGCAACTTGTATTACCTAAACACAACACAGTTTTCTTTTGAGAAGTTGAGTGACCATATATTTGCACATTTAAGTTTTTGACTAATGTCATGTGACTGAATATAGTTACTGGGAATATATTTGATGGCTAGGTCATCTCTTCCACTTTAATGTTAAGGTGCTGGTAAACCCAAATTGATTTCATTTTTTTTTTTTTTTAAATAATGACAACAAACTAAAAATCACTGTGTTATTAAATATCAGGTTTCCTGAGAAATGATTATATATTGTATTTAACTTTGACAAAGAAATGTCAGCTTTTTCACTCAAAGTATACTCTTAATAGTTGAGCAGGGCAACACTCTGGAAATAGTAGCGAATCTCACTGACACCTAGGATGGGATACAATTAAAACTCTTCTCCTCGGCAGCGCTTTGTCTCAAGACCTGAACTAATGGAGAGAGAAGCTGCATTTTGCTTTTGGCTTGCAGTTAATTGCAAGTCTGAATTCTCCAGAAATATTTTAACACTCTTCCTCTACCAAATAAGTTGTTCACATTTTTATCCCAAAATTGCATTATTTTGTCTTAATTCCCTTTTGCTGATTTGGGGAGCTTTTAGACTTTTACAGTAAACTTTCAGGTATCCTTGTGATGGTCCCCTGGGTGGCAGTTTTAACTGGGAATGACCTTCTCCAGCATCACTGCTGTGTTGTCAGTGTTGTGTGATGCAGAGTACAGGCTGCTCACTGGAGCTCCTTTCCACAGCCATGTTTGTCTGTCCCTGCTTTGTATAGAAATCTGCCTTCAAGTTTTTCCGAAGATTAATACTTACACCCTAATTTATGTAATATATCATAATATCTATTGTGCTTTATTCAGGTCACCTTAGTACTCTCTGAGATCTCTGGGATAACTGCAAGTTGAATGTATTTAGAATTTTACTAAAGAGTATTTCCAAAAATACTTCCTTTGAAAGAGAGAGAAAGTTATCTTAAGTTGAATTAACTTCCTGCTTCTAACTGTGTATATTCAAAACCTATTTTTGAGGACGAGCATAAGGATGATGTAACCTTCCTTGCTTTGAACTTGAATGTAACAGTTCTTGTAGTACTAAAATTATAAGAAAAAAATATTATAAATTGTTTATTGTTGGATGTAGGTTTGTTGTTTTCCTCTGGAGGGTCTAAATCACTGGTTTAGAGAGGGGCAAGCCTCTCTGTTTTGGGTTTTGTGGGGTTTTGGGGTTTTGTGTGTTTTTGTTTGTTTGTTTTGTGGGTGGTTTTTTTTTTAATAACCTCTAATTGTTAGGCTGACCCTGTAAAAGCATTTGAAGTATGCCCCAAATGGAAACTAAGGCAGCAGCATGTCTCTGAAGGCTGAGAGCTGGATGTAGTACCTCTGAAATGAGAACTGAGTGTCTTGGTTTTAACTGGAGCTTTGGCTAACTTTCCAGTCCTGGTAGTTCTTAAATTGGCATGTCAAGTTCAGGCACATGTCCTCTGGACTGTAAGGGCTTTAGTTGGATGCAGAGTAGCAATTCTTAAAGATGTATTTAACAAATACCCTGGCTCTGACAGCGGGTGGTAGCAGCAAAGGCGCAGGAGGGCAGCCCGCACGCCGTCCCTCCACATGTAAACACACGGTGACTGTAACGTGTTCTGAGCAGGCTTCGCATCTGGATCGCTGTTTTGGTAGGTGCTGATGGACCTGGCCTTCATGAACTTGTCTAATACCATTTTTAACCTGCTTATGCTTGGACTCCTCCAATTTCCCATGACACAACGTGTAACTATTCCTGAGGGTGGCAGCCAGGACCACTTCCTTTTTGCTTGTGTTAAGTTCTCCGCCTGATGCCTTCAGTGGGTGCACCCTGTTTCCCATGTTCTGCCGGTAACGGATGAATCATTCCTCAGTGAGGCTCTCCGTGGCCTGTGATTTTACAGAGCTTTCTCATATCCTGCCTCAGCTGATCCCTGTACCCCTCTAAGCCCAATAAGTCTTCATCTATTTGGTGTCTCCTTACACAAAGGCCTTTCCCTGATTATCTTGTTACTTTCATCTGTGCCTTTGCTGGTTCTGCTGTAACTAGTTTGTGAGTTGACTGACATCCTGAATTCCTCAGAGTGATTTTGGGATCACTTACCAGAGTAATAATAGCTAATCTTAGAGGCTGTGACAGTGTATGTGTAGTCGCTGGTGCTTTTTCCTTCCTCAGTGTTCATTGCCTTGCATTTACTGGTATTGAATTTCATCTGGAACTATTGTCAGTTCCTTCTGCAACTCTTCTCTTTGACTACCCAGAATAATTCTGTACCAAAAAAGTCACATTGCTTTTGTATCCTTTTTTCTAGATTTAGCTTGTCATCTAGCTATGATATGCTAAGACCTTTTAATGTATCTGGAATTAGAGCTGTAGTTTGGAATGAATACGGTGAATTTTCACCTTCAGTGTTTTTGACAATAAAATTTATTTTTGGATATTTTTGTGTAGCTTTAAAAATATGTTTCTGTTTTACATAAAGGATTTATTTATCCATGACAGGATTAGCAGAGGGTGACTGAACAGTGTGTGTACATGAATTTACTAATGTTGCATCATCCTTTTCTGTTGCTTATACAGAAATTTTCCAGAATGTGGATTCCCTTCAGGGCATTACAGCAACCGGTTTTGTTTTGTTTTGTTTTTAATTATTTTTGAGCAGATCACCTGACTACTCATTAGGGGTTATTTTTTTTACCAGAATGCTGTAATTGATGGGTATCTTCAGGGTTTTGAGAACTTTAAATCATGTATTGATGATTTGAACAGAGTTGTTGGTGCCACTGAGAACCTGTGAAGACAGAGTATGTGCCTGAGGAACTGGGGGTTGCAGACCGGGAAGAGTAGGGAACAACTGTTCTCTCCCAGAGGGTTTCTGGTGTTAAAGAAACCTTACAGCTCTGCTATCACTTTACCGAACCTTCTCCAGGATTGGGAAGCCGGATAATTGAAGCCCACTGGACTGACATCAATTTCAAAGAGCTCATTTCTGAAATTACAGGTATAGTCAGTGGAAAACTGTCTCTCGGGAGCTTTGCATGTGTGCCTCCTGGGTAGTGTCCTCACTTGTCCAAAAATACAGTGATGTCTTGAGCCTGTTTCTGTGTCAGATCTTAATCAGGAGCAGTTTTGGAAAAACACCAAAACCCTTTATGCTGGTTAAACAGTGCATACTACACTCAGCTGTGCTTTGTGACCAGCTAGCTGATCCTTGCCATGTCCATCTCCTTCCTCTCGTCCCTGGCACTTCTGTTCGGAGATGCAGGAAATGCAGAACTACCTTTTAATGTGCCAAAAAGCATCCTGGGAGGTTTCTGTGCGGTGTTGCTCCCTGAGAGCTGGTCAAGCCATGGGACAGATACACCAGACCTGGGTAGCTGTATGCCTTGACCAGGAAACCTAAACTACTTCTTTAAGTTCGTCTTCCATGTGGAGATCAAAACATTGCTGTAACAGAGCCATTAGAGTATCTGGGATTGTCAGCTGGGATGCCAGTGCTTATTCTGCAGGTCACAAATTCGAGGTGGTTCCTCAGTAATTCTTAATTTTGATAACAATTGGGTATTAACTGCTCTTTGTCCTTAACAGTGGAGGCAAGGTTTAAATGAGTGACTGAGGTTTGAAAAGGCCTGTGCTGTGTTGAGCCCTGAGATGTCCCTTGTAAAGTTGGTGCATTGCTTTAACTCCTTAAAACAAACTCAGTTAGCAGAGGAAAAGCCAAGGTAAAGTGGGTTTCATCTTTAAAAAGATGGAAAGTGTCAGAGTGTTTGTATTTTTCTGCGTTTGACATAGAAGTCCTCTGAAATTTTTATGAAATGTATATCGACTATGTCTGGATTGTCATTCCCCCCTTTTCCTTCATTTAGTGCAATAAAATTTTGCTCATTGTAAGGGTAATTTTTAAATAACTGGGGAGAGAGAAAGTTCTGCATGAGCCTGTGTGCTCTAGCACACTAGTTTCTCATCTATCATTTCTTTTAACTGATTTATAGCAAAAAAAATGAATTACAAAAAGAAAAAAGCCCCTTTGGAAAAAGTAGATAATAGTTTTGACAGATGCCATCTCTACAGTGTGAAAAGAGAATCAGGATTTAAACATGCTTTTCCCCTGTTAGAGTAGTCCAGAGTGAGGAATTGATGTATGACAGCAGTGGGGGGGGAAAAAGGCAACATTCTGTGACACTGAAACTGGAGCAGAGGAGACTGCAGAGTCTCTTTTGTTCTAGTTGCTCAGTCAGTCCTTTCTGCTGTTCCCCTTGGTCACAACCTGTCTCTTTCTGCCTTACGGTCTTTCAAATCTAGTGTTTTCCTTTTCTCATAGCCTGTCCTTTTACTGCAGGATTATTTCTTGTTCATCCTACTAAGGGAGCAACAGAGGAGTGTAGAGGACACAGCAAGCAGCTGTATGTTTTCATTTTTAGATGCTTTTCTAGCTGATGGAAATGGCAGAGAAGGATCAGTTTAATCCAGTAATCATTTTGTTTGAAGGCTCAATTTTGATGAGTTGAACCTTGCTTTTCAAACTTCATTTTTTCAGAAGTTCATAATTAGGCTAAGCTATGGCCTGGTTTTCCTCAGGATGTCAAAAGAAACTTCCCTGGAAAAAAGGACAATTGTCAAGTTTCAGATTCTTCAAAACACAAACGTGAGAACTTACCCTTCTGACCATTGAATAATTTTTTGAGCCCGACAGACTTGTCCCAAAACTCATTGGAAGGTGCTGAAAAACTGGATTTGCTCTCTGAAACATAATAGTCAAGGAAAGTATCTAATTAACTTCTTCCAGGTCAAATGGCGCTGGGATTTTTGGGGGAAATCTCAAACCATCTGTTAAAGCAGTAAGCACCAGAAAAAAAAAAAAAAGAGGCTGGAAGGTGCAGGGCATCTCTAGGGGCTTTGCTATGAGACCCTGCCTTTGAATGAGTCTGTTGGAAAGGTTTCTTCAGAATTGTTTAGCTTAATGCTTGGTCGTTTTGTGATGTGCAAGGAGAAGTAGTCCTGTTTTAGCCAAACCAGGACGCCATAAATCCAGATGCACTGCGGTTACACTGAGCAGAAATAAGCTGAGTGGTGTGGTATCTTATGTAGCAAGACCGCATACTGGGTACTATTCTTAGCTCCCACTGTTTCCCGACAGTGAGTTGAGTTTTGGGATTATTTCGTTTCTTCTTATACCAGTCACTTCTTTAGTCTAACTAACTTCATGTTTCTCAGCTGGTCTCCAAGTTTCTTTAATAGTAAGATTTCCCATGTGCTGCAGTTCTGTTGTCAAAACCCAAGAGTTAAAGATTGAAAAAACCCTGGGTATGAAGTTTGTTTGGTGCTTAGCTTCCTCTCAATCGAGAATGGCTTAGGGTTGGGTTTTTTTGCGTTAGCTTCCCGCTGGGTCATGCCCTTGTATGACCATGTCCCACTTTTGCACTGTGTGATAGTGATTGTGGTGTAGAGGCCCCGAAGTCAGAGCCAGCTGTAGTCGGCTCCACCGCAGAGGGCAGCTGCATTTATGCTGCATGAAAGTGCCACGCTATTTCCAGCTACCTCGGCTCTCTCTGTGCCAAAATGCAGATAAGTGCTGTGTCACCTTTCTTTCTCATACCAGTTTTTGTACTGTGCTGCTGTTGAAACTAGCTTTCAAGTACCGAGGAAGTTCTTTTTTTTGTGTCTACATTGATACAGATTTATTGAAATAAACTAGAGTCCTAGCTATAAATAAGATGGAATAGATTGTGGTTGCTGAATGAGTTTTGCAGAAATGTCTGTGAAGGGCATCCAGTTTGGCAATATATTTTAATACGCTTTTTTACGCAAGTAACTTATTTTTGGTCATGCCTGAGATTTACCAACAACCTCTGTCATGCTGAGTTCATTTAAAGAGTCATTGAAACAGGAAATAACACTATGACTTAAGTAGGGCATAATAAAGAACTTTAATCCAGGGTAAGACAGAGGATGAAAGGCAATTAGTACTTAAAGGTGGTATGTATGAGCTTTAGAATTTGAATGCAGAATCAGAGGTTGTTTCTCCAATAAGGACCATGTAAAAGAGATTAAGCGTTTCTGAAAATGTCGTATTTCTGAAAATTATTTGGTATCTTTTGAGAAATGGCCTATCAGCAGCCAAGCCTCCACTATTTCTTATGTATGCCAACATGTCCTTGGTAGTTACACCTCCTTTTCTTAAAATCCTCTCTTTTTTTCTGGGACTGTCATTTATGCTACTATGTTCTGGTTTGGGACATAGATACACACTTCTGTAGTGGTTTAAGGAAATTGCCGTCCCTCAGTCAGCTACGTGGAGCATCCCACTGCTGTTGTCACCTCGCAGCTGCAGGTAGGTAACCTCCAGCTAGAAGATAATGCTTCATTACTGAGACAGCTTTGCAGACTCCCATCAGAGTACGACTTTATGTCCACCGCCACTTGTAACTTCTCAGGGTGCAGCCTGTGGTGGTGGTCCTGGTTTTACTGAAGTTTAGCCCCTTCCTCTCTTCCCCTGATGACAGCAAAGCAGCTGTTACCTTGATGAGAAATGAAAGGAGGTATTTCCATTCCACTTGAAGTTTCCATTGAAGTTATCTTATCCAGTGCTATTAAATTCCTCATTTGCCACACCAGGAACAAAGACGCTCTTATTTTCATGCAAAGTGAAGTTATTTCCGTCCAAAAGCTAGAAAGATTCAAGTGCCCAAGAGAATCTAGAAGCTTCAGATATTACATGTTGACTTGGTTCCTTGTCAGGACAGTTCCATGTGGTACTAACTTTATTTTCCTGAGGAGATCGGCAAACTGTTGGCTTGTAGTGGCGTTCCTGATGCTGGATACCCAAAGGTGGGGTAGAGCCAAGATGATGCTCATGCTCTGACCATGTTGACGCCTATGTACATCTCTCATTGAAAAGAGGAAACTATTTCCTGCATCTTTTAACACTACACCTGACAGACCTCACAGTCGATGGTTGGGGATGACCCTGCTCCAGTCAGAGCAATGGCTTTCTGCTGTTGTTTTGGATCATCTGTGTAGAGAGTTTTTTAACAGTAGAGTTTCTCAGTTGCCTTTCCTGAACCCAGTCTCCTTAAAGAGGGTGTTCTTTTAACACACAGATGCCAGCTGAGCCATCTGATGGGCAGATAATCTAAAAATATGTTCGAAAATGCTTCTAAATACATTGCTTAATTGTGACAGCCAATGTGGCATTATTGGAAAACCAGTTGTTTTCCATTCTGCATTAATACTCATTCAAACTGAGTGTAACGGTGATTGCTTCTTAAACTTTCAAGAAGCAGAGTTTATATCCAGAGATTCAAGTATTCTGGTACTGTATTGATTCATACAAGAGCCTGGATGGATTCAAGCAGGAAAGTGGTGTGCTGCATTCCATTAGTCTCTCACAATATTGGTATCACTTATGCTGCTTTGCTACTCCATTAAAGTGCCAGCTCATAAATTGTTTCTAATGAGTATCTTGCAAGATCTTGTGATGGTGTTTTCAGACTGGAAGGTACATTCTTGGAAAAACACCAGGCTTAACTAGGTTATTGAGCTGTAGAGTTTGTTACCCATTGGGTAGCTGAGAAGTGAAGGTGGAGGTGGAGAATGCCTACAGCTTACAATGGAAACTGCATATGAAGCCAGGTAATCCTGTCCTGAGCCCACACATGCGTTCTGTTAGTTCTGAACCATCTTCAAACTTGCGTAAGCAAGCACCTGCCCTTCAAAAATATGCTGTGAAACACAATATTCAGTTGCTGAGTCTTTTTATCTCTTCACAGCAGATAGGCAGAAGAGAGTAAAAATAGTGCTTGGCAGCTTGGTTGTGTTTGGGAACAGAGAGTAAGTTCTTCTTAGTGTTATCCCCTCCACAAAAATGGTCCTTTCTCTGTGGGTGTGTTTTTTGCTTGCCTCTACGTGGTTTAATTTTAATCTTCTGTACGACATCTGGGCTCCAAGATAAAATAGTTCTTTATTGCATGTCTTTGTCGTTGTTCTTAATATGCACGCTGAGGACTTGAGCTATTTACTGGACCAGCAGCTATTTAATAATATTTGTCTTTGGCCAAAGACTTTTCTTTAAACTGTATTTTACCTGAGACAACAGTTGCTAATTTCTGGTTACTGAGACCAGCTTTACTAGAGCACAGAGAACTCTGCAGTGTGAGAAAGATGTTAGGCAGAATCGCTGCGAAGGCTGCAGAAATATCTGGGCTCACGCTGATGCCGTAGTTGGTAAATAAAATTGTTCATCTCCTTATATTGAAGTTATCTCTGCGTACCGAACCACCGTTATTTTTAATTTGCTTATTAGAGCAATGCTTTCCTGCTTTCGTCCCTCACTTAGAGCTTATTTTACCATGCATCAAATGGACGGGAGGAGGTACAAATGACTTGGCAACAAAACAAGCAAAGATGTTGAAAAGCAACAAAAGCATTCTTCAGATGCGTCTTATTTCTGTAGTCTGACGTTCTCGTATCTGTTCAGATGCTGCCCACATGATTGTGGTGTTACTTCAAATTATTCTGAGTATAATCAGTCAAGACTGTGTTGAAATGAAATGAAAAATCCACTAACGAAAATAGAAGCGTGGTGTAGATGGCAGAGTAAGTGGGAGCTCACCTGAAAAGAGAAACCTGCAATACAAGTCTTACATTTCAGAGTATGAATTTTTCAGGCTAGCCTGATACACAGATTTCTTCTGCATTGACCTCCCAGTGAAACATAGTGGACATACAAGTTCTTGTATATATCAAAAGGCATTTTTGATAGGGTCTACTGAGGAGATTTCACAATTACTGTAATATTTGAAATCTTATTTTGAAAAAAATCCAGTAAGGCATAGTGGCTTATTTGGGGGTGTCTATATGTGTGTATGTATCTCAGTGAATTCTGCCCTGGATATCTGATTTTCTAAGTAGACCTAGTATTCTGTGTACAAGTACCAAAACATTGGTAATCCTTCTATTGTTTTTGGTTTCTTTGTTTTTTTTTTTAAAACAGAGCAACAATATTTGAGTAGACTTATATAGTCAGTTTTCAGTGTAAAACCTGCCTTAGAAATTTCAGACAAGGATGCTGGCATCCTTTGAAAAGCACAGAGGACTCTGTTTCTGGGATACAGAAGAGCTATTGGTACTTAGTGGTGTCATTACACGACTTCTGCCTGTTGAAGAACTGTTTCTTCAAAACTGGATGAACCTTCTCAGTCTTTTCTTTCTTTCTGTTTCAGTGCATGAACTTCATTGCTTTTTGATTTGTATTTTTTTCAAGGATAGTAATATCATATGGTGGTATTCTGTTTTTAAAAAACTCAGCAACTTAGGAGCTTCTATCAGATCCCGTAGTACAGCATTTAATAGAAGCTAATAATGCCTGTGTCTTCTGTGTGCAGCTGGCTGGTAACCTAGAATATTCCAGTTTTGTATCCTTAATACGTGTGTGATCTTTGAATGAGAGGGAGAATGAACCGTGCAGTTAGATTTATACCCAACTCTTGTTCTCTGTGTTCTGGGGTGGGCTGAGGCAGAAGGGAAGAGTTTTGTTCTTCACATACAGAATGCATTTCCTAGGGTTAATTTATGTTTGTTTCTTTGGTAGGATTTTTCCAGTTAAAGATGTACCTGCAGAGCCTGAAGCTCTTACACACTGGCTATATCAACGATTCATTGAAAAGGAGGATCTCTTGACACATTTCTATGAAACAGGTAGGGCGATATCTAGCAAAGAGAATTGTGCTTTTTTAATGTCTTTTTTTACAAGGATCTCAAAATGGTTTGAGAACGCGTATACATTCTTCACAAGAATACGGTAGATATAATTATGACTACTTTTTATGTGCCAAAAAAGTATGATTAAAAAAAAATTATCTAGGAAAGGTGAATTACCCAAGTAACATTAGAATAGGGTAGTGTTTGGAAGCTGGCTCGTTTAAAACGGATCTAAGGAAATCCTCTTTTTTTCTGCAGTAACATATAGTCCAGCTGTGAAACTTGCTGCCATGGGATTTCACTGAGTGGAATAATTGAGCAAGATGCAAAGACATAGTGAATATTTACATGCACAGTAGAAGTATTCACAGCTTATGTTAAGTTTAGAGGGGATATAAAACCTTCACAGTTTAAAATGTGCAAGTTCTTGACTGTAAGGGATTAAATAAGATTCTTACGTGAGGCAGGTTATTTTATCTGCTTAGTGTGGTTATTTAGCATGTTCCCCTGGCACTTGTGCCGTTAGAGAAAACAGATCTAAGTAGTCTGCAAGTCTAATCCAAACCCATAGTCCTCTTCTGTTTCCTGTCAAGCTAAACAGAAAGATGCTGTGATTGGAAGGATCTGTAAGAATTACATAGCGTAAAGTCTCCGGAGTCTTCATCTGCAGCCCTGTGCTGTCAGTACTGGCCTCCTTGTCACGAGGTGCTGAGGATCACTTCTATCATAATATTCTTTCAATGTTAATAGATCAGAGGAATCTAAATAAACTTAGGGCATTAATAACATTACTGAAGGAATGCTGGCAAACGTGGTTTAAAATATCAGGTAAATAATTTGAAACTATAGCTGGAGAAGTGTTTCCTCAAGACTCTTTTCTTCCATCCAGTTGATACTGAAGTACGTCATCTGCTCTCCAGCAGGTGCGTGTGTGTGCACGTGTTCAGAATACACATCAAGGGAATTCATCATAATAAAAAAGAAAATCCAGAGAGGAAAAAATAGAGTTTTATTTCGACATACAGGAAAGGAAGTTTATCAGATATGGACTGAGTAGGAAGACTCCAGATGAAATAATACAACTTGTCTCTGAAGAGAAATAATCTCTTCATTAGCGCAAGTATCACAGTTGTCGAGGGGGGAAAAATATTCAGTCTCTCGAATCAACTAAGTTTAATATTCCAGAGTGACTATGTTAAACAAAGATGCTACCTCTGGTAGATGATTTATTGCAAAGACTGCTTTAATTCACTTTTGAGTGCTTAATCTATCAATTATAGTGCTTAAAAAGATTAATAGAATTCTTTAACAACCCAGAGCTGTATTTTGTTTTAGGAAATACTGCTGTCGCTCAGCCATCATTGATGGCAAAAGTCAGACCCTGCTATATGAATTGCACCGAAATGCATATATTGGACTTTATTAGACAAATAACTTTGTGAATCTGTTTAAAACTCCAAGTGTAGTCAATAGGAGGTAAAGAACTCTTGTTATGGAGATGTTCTTTCACAGACACTATTAAAATAAGTCACACCCCAAAAAATCTAACTAGACCAGAAGTTCAGAAAGTATAATGAATATAATCAGATTTATTCATTGAAATGCACTTTCAAAATAGGATGATTGGTTTTAATTTGCCAGTGTAATCAGTATGAATTAATAAGACCTGTTTTAAATGTAAATGCTATGACATAGGACCTTATTAGGCATAAATTAGCATGATTTAAAGTTGCTGCCATTTGAGAGGTTGCTTGCATTGCTTTTCTTGGCTTACTGCAAAAGTGCTGTTAGAGTTTTTGGAAACCCCTGGAAAAGTCCTGAAGCCTAATGTGAGGGGAATCCCTGAAGCTGCTCGAGAGCCAGCTTTGTATTGACGTGTTACATTGGCTCAAGTTGGTGTGTTTTTTAAGACTTAGGGCTGTTCCAGCATTTTGATCTTTTTGTTTGTTTGTCTTGTTGTTTTTTTAAATACACACTGCTTAGGAACTTGTCTCAGTTCATAAAGCTTACTTCATAAAGCTGGAGTAACATTTAATGCTAGATGAAACTTTAAAAGTTTTCATTGACAATATCATCAGTAGGAATACATTCTTTTGGCATATTTTTACTTGGGAAGAGGAAGAAACAAAGCCTAGAACACCTTTTTCCTTTTTGCTGTATTCCTAAATGTTAAGAATTTGAATTGATTTGGGGAAAACCTGTAATATTAGACCTCTTACAATGAAACAAAAAAAAGTATCTGCCTAAAATTTGAATATGAAACTGTCCCATCCTTTCTTACAGGTGCATTTTACACATTTTATGTATAAAATTAAAAAAGTTTACAGTTAATATCTGTAGGTATAAGCAACACAAAGTCCTATTTTAGCAGCTAGTGGAAAGCTTATATTGGCAAGTTCATGATTTCTCTGAAGTCTTTGGCAGGCTAACCTTGAACACTGCAGTAACACAAATGAGCTTACATTTAGCAGGACAAAAGCACTTGGAGACTAATTAAAAAAAACCTATAAACTAGGAGTTTATCAGTTGGAAATGAGTAATTGTATACTGAAGTCATCATGCTCCTTGTTCACTCTGATAAGCCAGCTGGTGAGTGTAACTAAAAAAGTAAGCAATATCATCCTACAGGACAACAGGAGAGGGTTTTCACCAGTGCTACGGAAATACTCTTCACTGTGCCAAATCTGAAACCTCTTCTGGAAATTCTGCATGCGGGACCATCATCCCTGTTCAAGAAATATGAATTGAAGTGGGAAGAGGGTCCGATAATTGGTGCTAAGATGATGAAGGGGAAGGAGGAGTTGTTTCTGCGAAGGACAACTAAAAGTGCTTGGCTTGTCTCTGCTAGGGAAGGGAGGGAAGGTTGTCTCTGTAAGACACAAATTGGCTTGGGAGAGGGGGAAGAGACAGTTGCTGTCTGTACCAAGGAAAAAGGAAAGTCATTTAAACCAAAGGTCAGTGTCAGTACAGAAAAACAAATGGGCCATGGAAGAACAAATGTAGCACAGAGTGGACAACTAGCAGTTTAGCAGTCAGAATTACTGGGGAGTAAATGGTGTGGCAAATCTGCCCATGTGTGAAAATAGGTATCAGTGAGAGGAGGATGGGGACTCATCAAGGGTTTTTTTTATAGGGTTTGGGGTTTTTTTTTCCTTTTTTTCTATTAGTTTAAGCATTCATACAGGAAGAGAAGCTTTGTCTTAAATGCTTGATTGCAATTCCTCCAGTGATTGCAAATGTGAAGCATAGAGATAGGTTGCTGATGGTATCTAATTGCCCAAATTGTGTGATTTCTGAGATTAAAAATTGACACCACTATCTCTTTATTCTTTGAATCATTCATCTCTTGTTGTTCTGTGAGTATCTGTGTCTCCATAATGCAACAGCAAGTACATCGTCTCTGGTATATTTAGAGTTTTTATATCCACTGTTCAGAATTAACAACAAAAAAAGTGGTTCATATCATCTAGGCTTTGTGCATCTCAGTAAAATGTAATGCAAATTATTTAATATGCTGATGTAAATATATGGAAACAATTTGCTTATGATCATACAGCTCTGATGCATCCAGACACATTTAATATAGTGTTGTAAGTCAGAAAAGGTCAAAATAAGGAAAAATGAATTTTTTAATTGTCAGCTGTATCTCCTGCCAGTCTTTCTCATCTAAACAGGCATTTCAGTAAAATCTTTCTGGAAAACTGTATAGCAAATTACAGTGCTTCCTTGGTCTATATGACTGACTGGCCAATGAATGGTCAGACAACATGTGGAAACTGTTTGTAAAAAAAAGAAAAAAAGTGTGTGTATATTTGTATTTTCAAGGGGAACCTTGAGAATGTATGTGTGCTGCTTCTTCACGGTATACAAAATCATTACCAAGGAGCTGTAAAGTTTAATAAGGAATCCATTCAATTTGATCATACAAATGTTAAATAAAACTTCAAAAATAACACGGAGAACTTAGTTGACAGTCAGATCTCCCTGCAAAGGTCAAATACAATGAGGATAGCTGCTTTTAACAAATGCTTTGAAGTTTATGCTTAAAGTTTATATCCAAATGAAATGAAAATTGTTCTTAATAATTAAGGGTTTGGTTGGTTGTGGGTTTGTTTTTTTTTCTTCCTTGAAGGTAACTGATAATGCTGGAGAATCTTTTGAAAGTTTAACAGCATAGTACAGAAGTAACCAATTAATCACTGGTGGGCACTGTTGCTGGGACAAACAGTGATGGTAAAGAGTCGTCCATTAAGGCCATCAT